CGTTTTGCTCCGTGCATGGGTGGTTTTGCGGAAGCGCCGTAAATAACGTGATTTTTGTCGTTTTTACTACAAACCCCGCCAGCTCCAGATTGAGAGATGATGTATTCCTAAAGCGGATTGCCTTGACCATGGTGACGATGGTAAGGATGATGATGATGGATGCTCCTGATTACGACGATTTTGACGATTATGATGTTGATGTTGCTGCTTGTTCATGTTGAGGATAATCATGGCGAAGTAACTATGATCACAACACTCGCAATGAGAATGACAATGTTGCTTCCTGCTGCTGCTGTTTTCCTGTTACTTGTACGATCCCACTACAAAAGTGCTTTCCGTGGTTCTCCAAAAATGGATGCAAAACTCGAGCAAACACTAACGAAAACCACGGTCTTTTAAGACGTGCTTCTGCAAAAATCACACCACAAAACAACAAAGACATTGACAAACGAAGGGACAAAACACCGTCTTACTCACAACAACCACACAAAAACTCGAGGATTTCGGGCGTTTGGCAAACAAAAACACCTCAAACAATGAACGACACACCCTTCGCAGCGGCAAGCAGGCCACTTGCCTTGTTGTTGTTGCAGGTGTTGTTGTTGTCGTTGTCGTTGTCTTATTACCACTTCTACAACAACAACTACTACTACTCCTCCTGCTGCTGCTGCTGCTAGTACCACCACAACTACTACTAACTTACTGTACTGCTCCGACAGCTCTTGCTGCTCCTACTGATGCCACTGCTCCTACTGCTCCTACTGCTTGTGCTGCCACTGCTGCTGCTGCTGCTGCCGCCGCCTCTTCTGCTGCTGCTACGGCTACTGCTACTGCTGCTACTTCTCCATCCTACTCCTACTACTTCTTCTACTCCTACTCAAACTGCTACTACTACTGCTCCTCCTCCTGCTGCTGCTGCTGCTGCTCCTGCTGCTACTGTCACGACGACGACGCCTGCGGCGACGACGACTACTAAAGCTACCGCCGCCACCACTGCGATGACCATGACTGCAATGCCAGTCCTGCCACTACTGCTACTGCTAGTACGGACTAATGCTACCGCTGCCAGTACCTCAGGTATTCGCACGGTTAGTTTACGAAGCACCTCTTTTGCAAAGCTCGGTCAGCCACGATACTGGTGGAAGGGTGTACTCCCCTATCACCTCAATGGGGCAGGGCATTCAAGCCGTCAAAGGAAGGACCTGCGCTTAAGGCACAGCACGACGCCCATTCGAAATCCAGCAACGAAGCCGCAAAACAAACAGAACATCGACGCTTACGGTCGCTAGGCTGAGCTGGCCTGCTGCGTACTGTGATTTTGCGAGGTGACCCTTCCGCTACGTACTGTGATTTTGCGAGGTGACCCTTTGTTCATGACCTTCGACGGTGATGTGCAAACGTTTGATCGAAAGGAGCGGAAGGCCGGACCCACGAAAAACCCAGGGAAGCAGTTGCTGGCTTCACGCTGCGCTTTAGATGGCCCCCCGGAGAGCCGATCAGCGCCTCGGAAGACTCGGAAGATGGCAGAGAGCTAAAGTCATGTCAATAGCGGCAGCAGTCGCAGCTCCGGAGCCGGGGATGTGATGTGCAAGTACCGTTGCAGGCGCACGCAGGGCGAGTGAAAGGCATATCGTCGTCTCACTTCGTACGCTCGTCGGACAGGTGCCGGAGAAGTATGAGTCCGTTTTTGCCCTCTTCGTGAACGAAGCAGCCTACTATGAGAAGAAGGCCACCAGAGCGGGTGTAGAAGCAATTGCCGCAGGATGGCCGGGCTTCTTGATTTCGGTTTAAGGCTAACTGCCACAGCCCCCCGAAAGTCCTGCTTCCCGACAGACCGCGCTGATGTTGGTGAGCCGTGCAGAGGCCTCCTTCTCGAAAGTAGTCTGAACCGGAAGCCATGGACTAACAGAGATTAAGAGAGGTCTTCGAACATCTTCCAACTTCGAGACTCAAATTAGTCTACAAAGTCATTTTTGAGTCCCATCAGACCTGAGAGTACTGACTTTGGAGCATCTTCTACCGTTCTAATCGGACACACAGATGCCTCGAGAACTCACAGAGCCCTGACTCCCAGCATGGAGCTTCAACAATGCCCTCCCGCCTTCTAATAGTCAGCACTCGAAGTGGATTCAGGAGAAGTTGGAGCTCCATTTCTGGAGTATCGGTTTCGATATAGATAGAGCATGTACATAGCCGCCATCCGCGTAGGTATGACGGACAGAGCAAAGCTCCCACAAAATGAGCTCTTCACGTGTCGCTTGGTGAGCTCTCCAGTTGAATCTTCAATCAGGTCTCTCATCCGCAGGGGTGTGGACTTGCCCTTTAGAGTACCGGCTGGTGCAATGCAACGCATGTGGTTCGGAGAGGCGTCTTCATGCATTGATTGAGTGCATGATCTTCCCAATCAGCTGGATCCTGCAGCCATGCCATCCGAGTTCAGTGAGCGCAAAGGCCGAGAGGGATCCGCGCCCGAAAGTTGCCACCGACAGACTCAACCCCGCGGCCCGCGAAATCAGCCACCACATCTCAAGCCTATAAGCAACAAATCGCGCCCAAAGAACCACATGCCCCAGAACTCGACAAAACCCTGCTCGTCAAGTATCATTTTAGCTAGCTTGCGTGAATCATTTCAATAAGGACTTGTTCGGTCAGGCCAAGGCATTTCGTGTGTGCGCCCTTTGCTTCGGGGGCAGGCTTTTCTTGGGCAGGCTCCGGGGTTCAGGGGCCATGGCGGAAGAGAGCAGCGAAGCCGAGATGCACGTTCTGAAGGCCCTGGCCTTGGATAAAAATTCCGACAAGTTCCGAACTGTGGCGTGCCGAGACACGCACTCCCACACTCTGCAAAATCCTTTGCTGAGTGTCTCTGCGGCGTAGCAGCCTAATGGACTCATGGCTTGACTTGGGGCTTGATGCGACGGACAGCCGAGTTGCTTCTTGGAGGTGTAGACTGCAATAGTTGTCACGATTCCACACAAGGGTTTGCTCTTTGTGCAAGAACTGTGTCCCACAAAACTCGTCAGGATCGGTCTCACAGACGATTCTTGCAGCAGCTCCCAGATCTGCAGCCCTTTCAAGCGTGATGCACGGGCCAGGTGGAGTTCTCGGATGCATTGCTGATTACACTGGCTGCGATACTACTGTTTCGGTCGCTGAGACGAGCTTGGATGTCACGACCATCGTTGAAGGAGCAGGGCCATTGAAGAGTAGCTGTTGTGCAAGACCTTCCGTACTGCATGTCGGTGGTCGCCCGCAGCGGTTGAAAGCAGGAGGAGTAAATTCATCCGCAAGCGCAGCCACCAGCAACCACTGCAGATCAAGGCCGTGAGGAGCATGATGGGACTGTATCTTTCGCTCGACACCCGGTAGAGGACAAGTTCGGCATGCTTCTGGGCTGGCAATGTTCAAAAGCCAAGCTATGTCCGGTTCTCATTTATGCTCCGATGAACTTAATCTGCGAGCCCAACAATGCTCGTCTTTGGTCGAAAGTGGGCAGAGGCGTCATAGGCTTCACGGCCTGCTCAAACCAACAACAGCACTGACAAATGCAAAACGCAGCGATGTTAGCTTGTGTTTAGCAGCCGGGAGATTGTGAATGCAAGCAGAAGACCAAACCAGTAGAACGTCTCCAAGCCATGCTGCCTGCTGCTGCCTTAAGTCTGCATCTCAGGCTGCTGTCAAGCGCGGGCCCAGCTGGCCCAGCTCGACGCCCGTGAAGAACGCCAGACAGGCTGAGCTGGAGGCTGGAAGTTTGGAGACTATAGAGCCTCGCAGAAAAAGAATGCAGGTGATGCCTGCGCTGGATGCTAGGGCCGCTAGGAGTTTAATCCGTGTCCCAGGCCCGGTGAAAAATCACAAACCCTCAAATTTTCTCTTAGGTGACATCCTTGGGGAGGGCCGTAATCAATCGGTGTAATACTCTGTGGACATCCTCCTAAACTAAACACGGTGCATTCAAGTTTTCGGCTTGTGCCGCAGCTTTTTCCCAAAGGTTCAGTCTCTATTTCTAGCTTTTCGCGGAGGGCCTGAGCAGATGGCTCTCAGGGCTGCCATGCCCTGCATGAGATCCTCGGCAGCAGTAGGAAGCCCCTAAAAGACGGTAAGCTTGCCATGAGCCTCAACACACGAAGATCTTGGTGACAAAATGTCTTTGCCAGCGCGAAGTGAGACTTTATGAGACATTCGTCTGAATCTTTGGCGTCTTGGCAACCGGCGAAGTTTCAAGACCGTATACAAGGCGTGCAGAACTTGATGCTCCAAATCGCTGTCGGTGCTTGTCTGGACTGAGGGCACTGCGCTCTCTTCGCCCCCGCCATCCCTGCCATGCGGCAGAGGTGTGGCTCGGATAGGCTCACATAATATAGTATAATATAATATAGTATAATATAAAATACTAGAATATGATTGAATTGAATAGAATAGAATAGAATAGAGCAAAGTATGCTCTCATCGGCTTTTGGGCCCCGGAGTCGACTTTCAGAATCGCCCCCTGAGGGCAGCGCTGGCTCCCTTTTGGCGCCCGAGGTATGCGAGCTCTCAGGACGGATGGGTTTTCTTAGACGGATTTTCACGCAGTTCTTGGGCACCTGATGCAAGATCTTAGTCTTCAATGCTGAAATTCGATCCAGTCAGTCCAATGCCCATGAATAATACTTGGCAGCACGACATGTTGTGATATGCATGCGTACTCCGTTACCACGCGCCGCACTGACGACTGGAGGCAGCGACTGCAGAGAGGCGGGGCACCACATCCCAAATGCGCATGTGCTGATGCGACTGATGCGACTGCAACTTCCGAAGTACTCCCCGCTTCCATCGGCACCGCATGTGGTGAGCATGCGTACTATTTCGTTTGTATTCCAGCGGTTTGTCTTTGCTGGGCCTTGCAGTCGTTACCACGTGCTAGACCTATGGTTAGGAGTCTGGCCTGGAGCTACACCGGGGGACTTCCCCACACCCGAAATTCCTGAGCCCTACACCCTACCGGAAAAGTCAGGGACACCATGGAGGACACCGTGAGTGCACAGCGCCAGGCCCTACCGTTCAGCTTCTTTCTGAGAGTTCTTTCATTTCGCAGCTTGCTTCCTGTACAGTAGAGTTGTGTTCTACTATGCCGGGTTTGGCGGAGGTTTCTCCAGTGTTAGCCTGTTGCTTGTTGAGGGCTTAAACTGGCACGGCCCATTTGGAGAAGCAGCGGGGAGGAGGGTGCCCGACAAATTGCAGGTGCTCTTTCCGAATGCTCAGAAATTGGAAGAGGCCTACCAGCAGCAGGACGCCACGAATGCTGAGTACAGGCAGTTGGACAGACTTAGCAATTGCATATCTTCGTGGCACGGGAGCTAGGCTTGTTTTCTGCTGGGAAAGCCGCAAGTCTTGACCCTGCTACTTGCAGAAAGAAAGAGCGCAGCAAAGCGGCCAAAGGACCTCCAGAAAAGTGCGACGGTGCCGCCCGAGCAATGGTCACCGAGGCTGTTCGAGTGTCCCTGAGAGCCAGAGCAGAGCCCTGGGTTGGATGCAACTCGCTTTCCCTGCAGGCGTGTGCCTTACAAGACTTACGAGAAGGATGCGGCGCCTGACGACGATAGCGACGAGGAGGAGGAGACTGACAGACTGGTGATGCTATATTATTGCTGGTCAGTGCAAGAAAACGAGGTTCCCGCATGTAATGCATGCTCGTTGGCGGATCCCCCGTTGGACATGTGGAAGATGTCAGAAGAAGCGGGGTAGGTGCGAATGTCAGAATCTGCTCTGCCTACACGATTGCCGCTGCCTCTTGTAAATTACCGCCCTCTTTCGTTCAACTGTGCATGCTCCTTTGTCGAGGAGGGGATGACCCTCGCTGGTCACCCAGCTTTCGATGCAGAAGATGCACCGCGTGTCTCCTTGAAGCGGCGGTGTGTATGTGTTGTCCTCCGAAGCCATGCCACGGCGGGTGATCCTCTACAGGCCGCAGAGGCAGAGGTCGAGGGATTGGAAGTCGGAATGGAGGAGGCGACCCGCACCATCGACCATTTCTGCATCAGTTTTCTAAACGAGGCTTCCTTCACACTGGCCTCATGCGAAGTTGAAGGGCAAGCAAATCTTGCAGTCGAGCCGAGAAGTTTCGCACCCAAGAGTCAGTACAGTCGGACTGTGTCAGTGTCTACTGTCTCGCATCAATACAGTTCGACACCTGGTTCATCTCCATCAGAAGCTCAATCAATGAATTGCAGGGAGAGTCGAGTGCTGTCAAGCCACGGACATGTTTCGTGATGCTTTCATATTGCTGTGTACTGTACTGTGCCCTCTATGTGCTGTTCGAGGGAAGGCAGAGCCTTAAGTCGTTTTCTATGATTGCCCTGAGCCTTCTGGCGTGAAGGTGGGTTTCCGCTACAACGGCCCCGAGCCAACCACCTTCGGGGATTGGGCGCATAAAGGACGTGCGGCCCGGCTTGCAAGTCTGTAGTCTGACTCAACATCTGTATGCACGCTCAAGACTGATTCCTGACCTGAACTGTTGTTAACTTCTGCGGATCCACACTTCGGGCTGATGCTAGAGATATCAGGTCACAGACTTCTGATCGAGCTGGTAGTGGCCTATGGGCAGATGATTGGCGGGCTGGCGTGGGCCGTTTCGCTACAATCGAACTCACTGAAAATGCTGCATCTGCCTTCGCCGATGCGCGGCTTGACCATGAATTCGTGTGGTCAAACGAGCCGTGTGCCATACAAGAAGTTTCACCGTTCACGTACAGACATAGTGTTTCCCCTCATTTGTGCAATGTTGGGGAGCCGGCAGACCGCATCAAAACTTAGCGACATAGCATTTGCAGGAGTTTAAAACTGCGCGCGGCTGCAAGAATTCCCGTGCACAGGGTGGTGCCAAACTCCATTCAGAGTAGCAGTGGTGAGGTAACCACGGGACATGGGTCACGTGCTCTGCCATCCTTGATTGTGGTTGTTGTAGCACCTGTAGTGTCAGCAATTAGTATAGTAGCAGTTGTTGCAGTGGTAGCAGTAGTACTGGTGCCAGCAGCAGCAGGAGCATGAGCAGAAGCAGGAGCAGGAGGTGGAGGCGGAGGAAGGGGAGGAGGACTAGACTAGAGAAGTAGCAGTCGTCGTCGTCGTGGTTGTAGTAGCTGCAGTAGTGGTACTAGTGGTAGCACAGGAAGTGATGGTGGTGGTAGGAGTCGTCAGTATTATTTGTCGTCGCCCTAGTCGTGTGAGTAGGAGAAGCAGGGTGCCAGCAGCGGTATTGCAAAGCAAGTGCTTGCGGTAGTACTAGTAGCAGTAGCATCAGTGGCAGAAGAAGAAGAAGCAGCAGCAGGAGCAGTAGTGGTGGTAGTGGTGGTACGTGGTGGTGGTGGTGGTGGTGGTGGTGGTGGTAGCAGTAGCAGTAGCAGTAGCACTAGCAGTAGCAGTAGCAGTAGGAGACCACTGGTGCAATTCTCACCAGTGAGGAGTAGTAGT